ATTAATTGCAATGCTTGTCTATATCAAAGTTGAATGCTACTTGATTCCAGCACAAAATACAAGTTGGTCCAGCATTCATTGAGAGTTTAGGTATCAGTTATCAATTGAATTTCTTACTCATACAGAGAGCTCATTAGAGAACTGTTCTTAGCACATTAATCTCCCAAGAGAAAAAATTAACAATAAAAACTTAAAATCCTTATTTTATAATGAACCTTGGGTTATAGTTGGTGAGGAAGACAAGTAGTTAATGGATGGGGTTGGATTTGGTAAGTAGGTACACTTTAACAGGTCAGTTGCCCTTGTGCTGTGGATCCTTCTTTAATCCTATTTTCAACTTGACCTATACATTCAGACACCTTGTACCATTAGCCTAACCCTAAACTCAACCACTAAAGTCATGAAAATCTAAATTATGTGAATAGATATAATTGCCCCAATTGTATGGTATAGGCTCGGTTCAGGTCTCAAAACACTGGTTTCAACACAAAACAAAGAAAAAGAAAAATCCAAAGGAACTTTTGTAACTTCATTCACAATTTCTCCAAAAAATTCAACGCAAGTTTTCTCCTCATTAGTCCCCAAATCACTCACTATTAATCGTAGAGATTCTTGAATAAAGAAGAAAAAGAAAGGAAGAGAAGATTGACATAAGTCATAACAGATCACAGATCATCGTACTAAATCCCAAAAAATAACAAAAGGAACATCATCACAATATGAGAAGAAAACATGAAAACATCACATTCTTTGAAAACATGAAAACATCACAAAAGAAAGATCGAATTTGAAAAAAGATCGGAAAACAACGGCAACTATTTTGTTGATGTTGAATAGCCAACATATATCCACATAAAACCCACAAAACACAACTAGAACAATTAAACAACATCAGATGTGTCCTTTGATTTCAGTCATCCAACAGAGGCAAGAAATCACCACCAGATGTTAACCCACAAAACACGAATAGAGTAATTCAACATCATCAGATGTGTCCTTTGATTTCAGTCATTCAAAGGACGCAAGAAATCATCACCAGATGTTCACATAGAACCCACAAAGCACAACTAGAGTAATTAATCATTAATCAAATTGCAGATGTGTACTTTGATTTAACTCTCATTCAAAACACAGGCAAGAAACCTAATGAAATCTAACTTCAT